AAGGATACAAACCTCCCTACTGAACAATGGTGGGGAGTTTGTAGTGCCGCGATTCGTTAATCGTTCGTTTCGATAACCGATATAATTCTAATCTTAACGGCGCGTGAAATCAGAAGACAAAGGATAGCAGCAACTACAGTTTATTGTCAAATGACTCAGGTCAGAAAGTTAACAACACCTGAGCGAATAACAACGAGCGAGTGAACAGGCGAATAAGCGAAGGAAGCGAACGAGGCGGAAACGACATGCAGTGGAGATGGCTGGGAAGCCAACTCGATTTAAGCAAGCTTTAATCAACATTTATAGTCGGACAAAAATAAGTGACAGACATATGATGAATAAGATACGAAGTGTACACATGTATGCTCATATAAAAGTATAGCCAAGGTTAATAAGCGGATAATGAACAAGATCAAAATATGACTCATGACAGGCGAATTGGCTTGGCCGGTAGCTAGGATAAAGTATATGGGTTTAACAAATAAACTGATACTACAAGTTTCTCGGCCCCCTAGGTGTAGTCCAAGGGATGTGGGGACGGTAACTTTTAAGTATAGATTTCGAAATACGTCACAAGCCGTTTCGATTGAGGACTCTGGGTCTATTGTCCAATCTACTGACGATGCTGAGTGCATGATGTCTTGTATGTTTGCTTTCCAGACGTTAGGTCTGAATTGAGCTGACGAAAGCCGACTCCTCGACCGGGAATCGAACCCGGACCTACCACGTGACAGGCGGAAATACTCACCACTATATTATAGCCTAGATCTAGTATATTTAATTGTTCACTTTTATTCCTTGTTAAATTGTATCATTTCAGCAGTTTAAAGATCCCCATCGGATATTCAAAAATGAAGAATATTTGAGCAAACAATGGTTTTCAATAAATTCATCATTAGGCTCTACAGTTATAAGTCCATAATTATTGTGATATTTTACAAAGGCCAAAATAAGGCATGTATTGGACATGAATTCGACAATGTTGTATGTTACAAACTGTGAACGACATGTATACATCAAATTTGTGTTATTTGTAAATTAGAAAGGTCATTTAATAAAGGTCAGAATGATTTGGATTAAACTGTCCAGTCATAATCAGTGAAATAGTAATATAATGAAAATGAAACGACTCCTGGTTTCGACTATATAAAATTATTAAAATCTCCACAAAAGTCCCTTCTGATAATAATCATATGCTCACTAGTGATTGGTTCCATGAGGTATTTCCTGGAGTTCTAATGAGAAGCAGTAAGCAGTGGAGTTCAACCAGGTCTGTTGGGGGATATCAACTGACTGAACACATTGGTGAATGATTGCTCAATTTCGTGGATTAGTTGAATTTTAATGACGTTAACACCATTGGATGGCGGCTCAGTGGTCTACCGGTTATGTGCTCTGGAGCGAGACTGGTAGGTCCTGGGTTGAAATTTCGTGAGTCAGTCACTAGTGAGCATATGATCATTATCAGAAGGGGCTTTTGTGGAGATTTTAATAATTTTATATAGTCGAAATCAGGAGTCGTTTCATTTTCGTTATATTACTATTTCACTGATTGTGACTGGACAGTTTAATCCAAATCATTCTGACCTTTATTAAATGACCTTTCTAATTTACAAATAACACATATTGGATGTATACATGTCGTTCACCATTTTTAACATACAACATTGTCCAATTCATGCCTTATTTTGGCCTTTGTAAAATATCACAATAATTATGGACTTATAACAATAGAGCCTAATGATGAAGTTATTGGGAAACAATCGTTCGCTCCAATATTGTATCATTTCAGTCCAATATTTTGTATATAAATAGTACATATATAATCTCATAGTTTACATTCATTCAATTCCCTACATAAAACTAATCGGTTAAAATTTTAATATATATCATTCTTTCTATTTACTCTAGGTCATATTAAAACAATTAATTTCTTATAAGCAATGATGGATAGTGGTTAGCAGTAGAATCCAGTTTGACGGGCGTTTCGTCCTATTTGGGACTCGTCAGCTGAATGTACCTACATCTCAGAGTTGATGTTCACTCTGGGACTCGAACACAGTACCTTTAGCTTCAAACACTATCTCGTTATCCACTCAGCTACTGAGTCCTGATAGCCACTTGCTTGTGCAATGGGGTGAAGTTGAAATTTACTTAGCATTGTTTGTTTGGATCTTCCCATTGCTTTTTTTTAATAACGCGATGGCGTTTGAAGCGAAAGGTACTGGGTTCGAGTTCCAGAGTGAACATCAACTCTGAGATGTAGGTATATCCAGCTGACGAGTCCCAAATAGGGCGAAACGCCCGTCAAACTGTATTCTACTGCTAGTCACTATCCATCATATCTGTACTGTTTACAATTGATTAATCATTGAATAGTAACTAATGTTTCCTAAATCCTTCTTACTTTTGATAGGATTCTATCTATCAACTTATAATGTGGCCCTGAGTCTAGTGATCGACATAGTGTGCACTATGTTGAAGAAATAACCTTAATTGTACAATTTTCAGTTTACTTATTTCATATGATGTTATTATTATTACTGTTATTATAGTGAGCATGACATAATATCTATCCTGTTATGTTTCCATGCACATGATTTTAAGTTATTGATTATAACTCATAACTTTAAAGCATATTCCTCTTAAAGTTTTTGTATATCCATATCTTTCAACTATGCATATGATGTATCTTTCTAGTTTGTGTTTAATTAACAGAAAGCATTTACAACTCTACAAGGGGCTGAATCCCGAACTTTGAAGGCTTGTGACAAGTATATTAACTTCCGATCACTTGTCTGATATATTATGGTGTACATTATTAATTTCATTATACGCGTGTTATTGTATGACTTTCATCGAAAGTTAATGTCTTACTGTCAGCATTGATGAACTCCACAGGAATCTATAATTCATTTACTAATTTATCTGGATTTAGTTATTAGTATTATTATAAATTTAATTACTATTTGAACTCATCTACTTCAATCAACTATTTTACAGTAGTTTGGACCAATACATACTGGATCTAGGTTTTATTAAAACTAAAGGTCAAACTAAGTTGAAACCAGTTTTCATGTAATAAAAATTGTTGATTGGACTAAGCTCAGAAGTACTGTTTTACAATTTGGAAGTATTATTGCCCTCATGGCTTGCGAATCTGTACGTACTACTCTCACTGATAGTTGCTTTTCTCCCAGTGGCCGATTTATCTTTTTGTTATAACATACTTTGTATGAACATGAGGCATAACATAATCCTGGTTTCTTGGAGATTATAAAAATATTTCTACAAAATGCATTACTCATACTGAAAGCGTTAATTAAGGACAGTTGTTTATATGTATATACTTGTTAGCCTACACTGGTCTCGCGTAGTTTGCAGAGTTAACATTTGATAACTACTGAAGATCAAGTTAGCATAAATAAATAGATAATGTTACCTCCGCAACGATGTCCGACCACTCAAGGAATATTGTACTTTTATTTTGAGTAGTGTTTACATAGAGAATATACTAAAGCTGGAATCTGTTCAGAGGTGGTTTGCACTTTGGATTGCTAGGAATGATTGTACCTCAAACTATAAACCCATATTGACTAGGCTTGGAGTCGGCCCTTTGAGGAACAATAGACTTGAACTAAACTTTTCCTTCAAAATATTACGCCCACTAATTCAGTCCAACATGGAGAAACACCTAGTTATAAAAATTTTAGCTCTTTCTCAAATGTGAAACACTTTCCTTTCAAAGTTTCTCCTTATAATAATGACTTCGCAAGTAACTGTACGACACTATGGAATAATTTGCTGCACTTTGCAAATGAAATAAGATTACTACCATTATCTGTTGGCTGCGTCGATGATTATCTTTCTTCTTAAATCGCCTGGGAAGTGCTTTAACTAGTAACCATATCCTATCCCATTAGTTGGATTATAAGAACATTAAAAGTCTGATCATTGCTAATGTAGTAGACGCTACTCACAAGATTATTTATAAGTAGAATGTAAAGGAACGTGACCCCGAAGTTGTCACAGTCGTCACACGAAGTGACGAGTTTCAGTACATCGGAAGTATCACAGCCCTCAAACAAATCAAATGAGATTTGTGTGGCGCATATATATATGGTGTCCCCTTGTACCAATATTTATGTGTTTGAATAAATAAATATCTTTTCTGCAGTCTGTAGCTACCCTGGAAACACTTTCTCACATAAACCATTAATTCACAGAAATGACAGTCTAACTGTTAGCGGGAGATAGATTGGACAAAAACACATTCCGTGTACGATTGTGTTGCCGCACACTGATTGGGTATTGCTTATTCAATCAGCACCAGTCAATACTTGGAGAAGACCCTAGAATATTTTCATGTAAAAACTATAAATATACTAACGTCTCCCTTATTGTGCTTCTTACTTCCATCTACCCTTGTTATTTAGCATATAATTTCTTCCCTATTCAACTATGTTCTGATTTGACTTGTCTAATGAATTGGTATCCAAGATTACAAAACAATAAGAATAGCTAGGTTGGAACAAGAGAATTTATAACACTAGCTTATCTACTAAGAAAGTAACGATCCCCCGATTGCTGATTTAACGAACCATATCTTTCCAGAGAATTTGATATTATACCTTTGTCTTTTACATGCAATAAAGCATTCTATATTAATTTACCATTATTTCCTATTTTTTAAACAATCAAAGTAATTTTTATATGTAGTTGCAATCATGAGTCAATTGAAGCTAGACCACCGTTGAAAACCTGGAAGCACTGCTTTAAGACCGTTTCGTCCTATTGTGGGACTCCTCAGTAGTGCGCATCCACGATCCCGCCTCGCGAGATTCGAACCCAGGATCTACCAGTCTCGCGCCAGAGCACTTGACCGATAGACCACTGAACTTGCCGGCATCCAACGGTGTTAATGTCTAACTTCAACCAATCCACGAAGTTGAGCAACCATTTCACCAATGTCTTCAATGAGTTGATCAAAGTAATTAACTAACAATCACCAATCGAGATCATATTTAAGACCGATATCTGATAACAAATAAATAAAATCAACGTTAAAACAGAATTATCATCATAAGTCAAATGAATTAATATTCATATGAATTAAATAAATAGACATACACTTTGGAAAACAAGCTAAAAAAGAAAAAAAAAAGAAGAGAACACGATTAACCGGGATACAATAGACATAGAGATAGGCAAATATTTACAGAATGAGAGTAATATGTAGCAACCAAAGAAAAACACAGTGTTGATGGCAAACAACAACAATAATACTAAGAAAGAAGAAATTAAAGGAAAACATAATAATTTAATCATGAAAACAAAAACTGAACAATATCCATGATGTATGTATCTATTTACAAATAATGACGAGAAATAGAAGGGAGAAAATAAAAACAAATAAAAAAAATGACAGAATAGGGGGGGAGTATTTTTAACAATATGCAGAACATTATAAAAGGCATAATTGAATGTTTTATTATTATTATTGTTGTTGTCAGTTACGAGAATATAATACATGATCCACACACACACACACACACATGGATCCATCCCACGATATACACTACTTATGTAAGAATAAAAGTTTTAAAAAAACAAAAATAAGATTTTTAAAAAAATCTTTTTTTCTTTTTTTCACATTCATCTACACTGGTTCATTTAAATAAAAAAAAAATGAAATTATGATCTATTTAATAAGATTTAAAAAAAGTATAATCAAAATAGTCAGTTTTTTGTTGTTGTTGTTGTCAAGTTATCTGATTAATGTAAGCAAGAGTAAACAATATGCGACTAGCTGAGTAGTAGCTGGGTGGTGGTAGCGGAGGCAAGAGAATGATCTTAGTGATATAAACACTAATCAATAATAATAATAATAGGGAGGATAACATTTCTAATGTTTGGGTAAGGTTACCGTAGTCAACAAAAAGAACGACAGACTAGATATATATAAAAAGAACAAAACTGAGAGTATATATAATACATAATTGAACGCGTACAAGAAAGTGAAACAAAGCAGAACTATGTACTGAAATAAATACCATAAAATACCTCATTTTTGGTGATTATGAATGGGTAAGAGAGGAAGAAGAGACAAAATAAGAAGGTAGAAAAGATAGTGGTAATTTAGATAAATGATTTTAAAAGCGGACAGAAAATTATTCATATAAAATATATGTATGTATGTAAATAATGGAAGACAAAATTGCAGTTATTATCACGAAACTGAACAACATGCTAATCTAGCTCTATGTTTACTTATTGTAAACGGTGATACTTGTTTGTGATTTAGCGTATTTGATTTATGTGTCCATTGGTTAACTGATTCATTTGATAACTCAGAATAATTAGTGATATTATTATTATTATTATCATTGTTATTATGGGTTTCTGGATTCATATTTTCAACTATACTACAACCATGATCCGGAAGACAATTGATGTTCGATCTTTTTAAAGATTCTCGTCCTGAAGACAAATGTGTGGGACATTTAAATGAAGTTGTAGATTGACTAATAGATTTACAAGACCCATTCCGATGATTATGAGTAAGGAGACTGCCGACTCTTACAGGTGAACTATGCTCAAGAGAAATAGAGGGAAAATTATTTTCATTCGATTCTAAAACAGGATTCACTGAACAAACAACTTCTGTGTTTGAAATACCACTTATACTAGTTGGTAAACTTATTCTAGTTTTTTGAGATAAACCTGTAACAAGAAAATCATGATTTAAACAACTATTCATAGAATCTTTGACCATATTGGAATTCTGCAAAATATTGTTTTTTGTAGAAGCTTTTAATATGGATTCAGATGGATAAAGTAAATTTCGATTATAAAATGGGAGTCTTTGTGAATCTTCTAAAGGAAAATCTTTTAGTTGATTGTTGATGGGGAAATTTTCTGATATAGCAGTGAGGCTACGTACAGATGTTGAGGTACTAGCTCGGCTAGAATTATATTCACAACTGTTAACTCCAGCAATCGAATTAGTAAATCTACGGTTATATTGACATTGCAATTCAAATGTTCCTCGTATAATATCGATCATGTAGCGTGAATCTCTCAAACTTGTTGCGAGAGAGCTAAGTGAAAAATTGGATGTAGTACATTGTGAACTGCCACCATTTTGTAAAGCATCGTTTCGCTGAGCACTTATGTTGGGTAACTGACTAATGGTTGAAGTTGACTCCGATTCAGCCAAAGTTGCGAATCCACCACGGGTCATATTAGATGTCGCAAAAAGAGTTGAACTTGTATGCATATTTGACGATTCAGACTTTCTTCGTTGATTCAAACCAAATAACAGATTAGATGTCCTAAAAGTAGGAGTTTCTCCAGAGCGTCCCACTTCGTCATCTTCTTCACGTATCGGAGTGCAATGTTCTCGAACCGTATTTGAACCACCTAACTGAGAGTTACTTTCAAGTGATAAAGTAGTCAGTCCAATATTATTCGATTGCATATAAGTTAAGTGCGGCTGTTCAGATGTTTCACACAATATAGGTGCGGAACTACACCAACTAGCAGTTTTACGAGAATTGCTAAGAGATCTAGTAGAACCTCTTTTATTCACTCCAGAAATTGAAGGTAAAATACTGCGATGGTTATTCCTAATGACATCACTTAGTTCTGTAACTGCATCCAAACACTTAGTCCCATTTTGCATGTAAGATTCATCTGAAGGCTCTTCTGGAGAAAAGGAGTGGTCCAAGTTAGAGGGCAAATGACTGATGTCATGCTGTTCTAGAAATGAGGTATCTGAGTCTGAACGACTGGGTAACGTAACACCTGAACCTGGATAATACAATCCTGAGACTGCTAACAATAAACCTGGGGGTCCACTGCATCTTCGATCGGGATTAATCCCTTTGTTTAAGATATATGGGCCTTGGCTGTTATTTGAATAAATAACCTTTCTTCTATTAATGGCGCCTATTTGTGGCTCAACAGGAGATGAACAAAATGATGGGCGACGCTGATCACTCATCAAACTCATGTTGAGAATAGCATTCCAACTTCCGATGCTTGCTGGACGAGACGACGATGCAGGTGTATTCAAAAACCTTCGTGTCCACGCTGGACTGTGAGCTCCAGAATATGTTTGTTGGGTTGAAGTCGTGTAAAAACTCGTAGGTCTTAGGCCAATCAACTGATCGTCGACATATTTAATACTACGGTACAAATTATACGAACTACGCAAAGATCGAATTCCTAAGCTATCTTCAGCTGTGGTATAGACAGCCGGGTTTTGCATAAAACATTCTGCTAATTTCTTTCTGCGTTTATCCATATAGAGGGAATTATTAGTTTCGACTGAGGTATGACTGTTCCAATCTTCTTCAGCAATATGTTTCAGAAGCTGCGGACTGCTCTTCACTGTAGTAAGTGGACGGTGCGATATAAGTCCTCGTCTATAGGTATTCTTTCTCCGAGTTTCCACAGGTGGAAGAGAACGAGTGGTGGATGTAATTCGATTCAAGGAATTTGCGAAACCCATTGTATTTGCATTCCAAGGACTAAGAGGAACATCTGACTCAGCACTATCAGATGCTCCAATAGCAGAACCGCTTGTTCTAGAACAAGGACGAGTTGAAACTACAGTTCCATGTACATTTGATGTGAATTCTGAATCGGACATGCTTAATACATGATTAACCATATGATCAGTTAAAAGTTCAGAACGAACACATGCCAAACCAGCAACAGTAGCAAGTTCTTCTTCCTCTTCTTCCAGCATTGCCTCTTCGGACGTATCAGCGAAACAGGGGTGTAAGGCATCTGAATCATTGACCATTTTCACTGACTCATTTACACCTGTAACGTACCTGTCGAATGAAGTAGATGCTATTGGAGACCCTTTACTTTCTTCCTCTTCTTCTTCATCTTCTAAAATCATACTGAAACGCCTGACACGATCCTCTACATTTGACGAGCCTAAAGAATTTAAAATGCGTGAAGTTGGCGTTGGAGTACTTGAACCCATCACACTATTTACCAAAGATTTAGGATTGATATTGTTTTCAACATTCTGCATTTGTTTTGCATTTTCAGATAGTCCAAACACACAGTTGATACACTTTTGTTGTTCTTGTTTTCGTTTTTCATTTAGTTGAGACTGGCTTGCTAACCGTTTATATTCTTCTATGTAGTTACGTTTCAGTTTGCGCTCCGCAAGTAAATAATATGTAGCAGCTATGTGGTTGTATTCATTACGATCTAAAGTAGACTGTATTTCTTCAACAGACGCCAGTTCACCCTCAGCCATTTTGGATAAAATCTCCATATGATCTTCAAATGAAAGGTGTTCACGAGATATCAAAGGGACAGAAAACAACTCAATAGGCAAGTCATTACCATCTAGCTTTAGCCAGTCATCTTGTAGGATATCATCAAGATGAGCACGCTTTTGTGGATCACGTATTAGTAAACGAGAAATAAGTCGCTTACAGTCTGGTGACAAATGTGAAGGCATAGAATAATCACAATCCATGATCTTCGTTAACGTTTCACTATCATTTGTTTCTTGAAAGGGCAAATTTCCGCTGACAAGCATATACAATATCACACCTAAGGACCAAATATCCACTTTTGGGGCATCATATGAGTCACCAAGCAATATCTCCGGAGCTGAGTAAGCCAACGAGCCGCAAGCTGTGTCTAAATTGGTGCCAGGAATAAACTTATTACTGAACCCAAAATCTGTTAACTTAACCAAACCCAGTTTCTCGAAAAAAACTACATTTTCTGGTTTTAGATCTCGATGAACCACTCTTAACTTGTGGCAATAAGCAATAGCAGTTACTATTTGGCGAAAATAACGTTTTGCAACTTTTTCACTTAGACCATTGCCATGACTTGTTATATAATCATATAGGTCTCCTCCATCACCTAACTCAAGGACGAGATATAGTTTGGTTGGCGTGTCAATAACTTCATATAATCTAACCACATTTGGATGCTGAACAAGTTTCATGCACACAACTTCCTGAAACAAATGATCGCGTGAAACATTGTCTAGTTTGGTCTTGTCAATTACTTTCACTGCAACTTTCTCACCAGTAAATACATGACGTGCTTGTTTTACAACAGCATAATGTCCTCGTCCAATTGTATGTTGTAGATCATATAAACCGGCAATTTTCGTATCGATTTCAGGGTTAAAAAAGAAAGGTTTGTCACACATCTAGAGAAAGAATGAAAATCATAGATTTCGCATAACTAAGAAAAACGCACTATGAGCAAAAAGAAATGGTGTTATCCAGAAATTAATGGACGGTTATTTCGATACCGCTTGAAATTTCCCAGCTTTATACACTCTCCATATTATAGTGACAAAAATTTGCGGCGTTGAAGTTTAATGGTGAACTTTGTACTATTATAATTAGGTTCTAATCTGATGATTACCGATTTTTAGATTGCCAGCTTGCGATGTTGCACGACTAATATGAACTAGACAATTTTCTTTACTCAGAACTAAATGAGTTTCACGAACTAAAGGTTATATCTAAGATCCTCAGGATATTCATCTTGAGACAAGATGCGAATGAGCATTTAATTGCTAACCACTTTAAATTTTATACGACTTGTAAATCAAGAACAAGCTTGTAAACTTGTATTTGAGGTACACGCTTCCGCCTAAAAACTGGCAATAGTCAACTGTACAGTGTGAATTAGGTGGGAGAAAGGTTTGAACTCTTGATAGAATTTTCAAAAACAAAGTAACTAAACAACTTAGTCACTATCTAAGTAACATCTTAAATACTTAATCGGATATAAACTTAGAGAGCAGTAGTTTCATCTGACAGTAAAAGTCCTTTGATGAAGCATACTTGAATGCCAAATGGCAGGCCTTTTAAATTCTAGAACTGGAATTAAGCCAGGTTGACACCAATGGATAATACTGACGCCGACCGTTTTCTTCTCTGGATCCAGTACTCAAGCAGTGATTGTGAAGTTATTTTTTATGGACGAGCTGCTTGTCGCTAAATAGATAAATACTTGATTTTTCAATACTGTCAGTCAGTCAGTCAGCAACAACGTAGAACCAGGCATATATATGCATCGGTCCAAGTTGCCATACCTTGTTTGCACAAGATCAACACCGGATTCATAGAAGTAGTTAATTTAGTGGTGGTAGTATATAAAAGATAGGTTGTATATAAGGATATTGTACAAGAAGAAAGAAAGATATGAAGCAATTTTAATCTCAAAGATAAAGAGTGTACACACCTACGCCATTGTGATCGATTCTGAGCCATGTCACCTAAAGTCTCCAACCATTGGTTACGATAGTCGCGCGGATCCCAACCAGGTAGTCTGCATCTACCTACATGGCTCACACTAGAAGTTAGTGACTTCAAGCACTGATGCCACGTTTTGGTTTGGCCGCCCCTAACTTTCTTCCAACAATCCCCTACACTAGTCATCATAGCGCGTCGTGGTAATCGGTGTTCAGACATACGTAACACATGGCCCAACCATCTCAGTCGATGAATATTCATGACCTCATCAACTGATTTACCATCATTCCCTGATACCCTGTATCTAACCCCACCATTACTTACCCGGTGATCCCAGCAGATGCGAGCAATATTTCCAAGACATCTGTGATCAGATACTAGCAACTTACGAGTATCCTCTACTCTTAATGGCCACGTTTCACAGCCGTAAAGTAGAACAGAGCGAACTGCTGCACAGTATACTCGTCCCTTAATTGATAGATGGATATCTCGTCTTTGCCATAGGTGATAGAAGTTGGCAAAAGCCAAACGAGCTTTCTGAATCCGTGCTGAGATTTCGTCAGACACCAATTCATTAGGGCTGATCAGACTTCCAAGATAAGTGAAGTTATCGACGCGTTCGACTACTTCACTTTCTATCCTTAGTTCAGGTGTTGACGCAGACCAGTCCTGGAGTAACAATTTACATTTAGATGGGGAGAAACGCATCCCAAACATCCTGGCATTATTACTCGGTTCTAACAGAAGACTCTGCATTTTGTCAGCGTCATCACACAACAGGACTATGTCATCTGCGTATTCCAAGTCGATAAGTGGACCTCCTGGTAGGAAATCAACTCCTGAAAATTCAGTTCACGAGTGTTATTTCCAACAATATGTCTATAATGAAATTAAATAATAATGGGGATAGTGTACAGCCTTGACAGACACCACCTGGGGTTGTAAAATCAGATGACAGTTCGCCATAACCTCTCGCTCGACTAGTAATGTTCGAGTAAAGAGCCTTCACAAGGTTTATGTACTTCTGAGGTACACTTTTCAATGACAGACACTGCCACAGAACCTCTCGGTCTACAAAGTCAAATGCTGCTTTCAAGTTAAGAAAAACTATCATTGTCGGACGCCGACAAACATGTCTGCGCTCTAAAACCTGACGAATAGTGAATATGTGGTTGATACAGCCACGACCAGGTCTGAAGCCAGCCTGATTTTCTCGTGTTTGAAGTTCACGAGTCTTAGTTAGGCGCCCGATAATTATTGAGGCAAGTATTTTAGAAGCTATGTTAGTCAGACTAATCCCTCTATGGTTATCGCAGGATGATTTTGGCCCCTTCTTATATATTGGGACAATAAGTGATCGTGACCAGTCAGATGGGATTATGTCCAACTCCCAGATTTTAGCTAAAATATTAGTCAATCTAATCGCTAAAATTGAACCACCATATTTAAAGACCTCTGGAGCCAATCCATCAGTACCGGCTGCTCTTCCACGTTTCAGACTAGTTATAGCTATTTGAACTTCAACTAGAGTTGAGGGACCTACTTCAGTGTTCTATTCAGACTGTTCGAGAATGATGGGTAACTGTAGAGTAGCTGAAGGTTAGCTGAACTGCTCATAAAAGTGTTCCGCCCATCGTTCTAAACGTCTGTACTGAGAGCAGATAGGAGTGTCGTCTTTTTCCGAGATTGTCTCACTTACACGTAACCTGTTAATTCCGGTTTTTTTTATTACAGCAGCTGCCTTTTCTATCTCTTTCGTTTTTGTTGCCCACCACTTCTCACGATCGTTCCGTATACTTTTGGTTACCCTAGAACTGATTTGCTTTCGCTCTTTATCGTTTTCAGAGTCTGATGGGATAAGTTTACGCGAATCCATCAGTGAAATGGGCTTGGAAAATCCATTGATTTTTTTGGAACCCTTTGGTTTAAATTGCTAATAGATGTTACTGCTGTTTCCACAACTGTTCGTATATCTTTCCAAACAGCATCTGGGTCAGTCTCTTTATAGAACTGCCAGTACTGAGTTGCGAATCCATGTTTCGTACAGGCATAAATCCTTAACTTGACATTCTAGTCCTATACCATAGCACTACAAATCAGTCTTCAGTAATAAGGATAGTAGGTTGATGAACCTGTGTTAATCCTGACAGATTTCTTTCCAGTGAAGGTCCAGCTTCTTTTTGAAAATGTTCACTGATGGTGCTGATACCACTTGTTCTGGTAAAGCGTTCCAGTCATTGACCACTCGATGAGAAAAACGGGACCCCACCTTTAGTTTATTAGATCGCGGTTTCAGAACCTTCTTGCTATGACCCCGGAGATTATTAGTGCCGGAGGGAGCAAAAAGATAAGACATATTAACACCCAGATCATAATTAAAGATACGAAATGCCAGTATAAGGTCACCTCGCGTCCTACGATAAGATAAGGGGAAAAGATTTAGACGTTTTAAACGCTCATCGTAAGGGAGTTTAGAAAGACCCTTTACTAATTTTGTCCCTACACGCTGGACACGCTCAAGTGATTTAGTATCCTTTATCAGACATGGGCTAGCTGCTTGGATACAGTATTCTAAGTGCGGCCTTACATAGGTGGGATATAAAATTCGAAACAAATCCTCGTCAAAGCATTTAAATGCTCTGCGAGGCGACCATAGCGCGCGATAGCCTTTGGAAGCAACCGCATTGCAGTGCGTAGTAGTTTTTAAGTCGTGACTTATAATTACTCCTAAGTCTTTGTGCTCATGAACGCGTGGCAGAGATGTACCATTAATGGTATAATGGTAACTAATATCGTGCCCGATGTGCATGAACACGCTCTTCCTGGAATTAACTTCCAGGCCCCAATCATGAGCCCACCTAACTAATTCGTCTAAATCTGCTTGCAGATAACAACGATCAGTCTCATTTCTTATTGTTCTCCAGATTTTAACATCATCCGCAAACAATAACGTCGACGACTTAAGTAATAAAGGTAGTTCATTAATATACAGAAGGAAAAGTAAAGGGCCTAAGATGGTGCCTTGGGGTACACCACTTTTGACCGGTTTCCATTCGGATAGAGTTCAATTGACTCTCACTCTCTGTCTGCGGTCACATAAGAAGCTTCCTATCCATTCCTGTATAGCACCTGTTATACCAAAGCTCGAGAACTTTTGGATAAGACCCAAGTGTGAAACCTTATCAAACGCTTTGCTAAAATCTATAAATATCACGTCGACAGACTGGCCGTTGTCTAGGGCAGCTGTCCAATCCTCTCTCGCAATGAGTAAGTTAGTCAAGCATGAATGCTTGTTACGAAACCCATGTTGCTCGGGAGTTAACAGATTGTACGAATCTATGTGGCTCAGTAGCTTAGCCCGAATTAATTTTTCAAGTAACTTAACTACTATACTGGTCAGGCTAACAGGCCGGTAGTTAGATACGATCCGTCTCCGACCATCCTTAAATATAGGACTAACTATGGCGTCTTTCCAGTCTCTAGGTAGTTGAGCCTGTGAAAGGGACATGTTGAAGAGCATCGTGAGCGGCCTTGAGATAATGTCCGCAAGCGACGACAGCAAACGTGGGTGTAACCCATCGGGGCCCGGTATCTTACAAGGTTTTAAGTTAGTTATAAAGCTGAATTTTCGCTTAACAGTAATGAGGGGATACCATCACTACGTTCCGTCCGCCTTTTAACATACGAAAACAGTCGCTTCGGACAGGTACGGCTATCGTATGCCAACTGTCGTTCGTAAGCCGTGCGGGATTTAGCTATGGTCTTTTTACACATATTCCGGATTTTTTTATATTCGCACTTAAATGATGCCTGACCTGTTGACCTGTATCATAGTCGTAACTACATTATTATCTACTGACACTTGAGTCAGTAAAATACGTCAAGATGTTTTTATTTGTTAGATAATTTATACCACAATCAGTGGGTAACCATTCCACAGTGACGTCATCTATTTCACTATCGGTATGCAATAAAATGCTTGGATATATACACCACGGTCTAACAATAATTAGGACGTATACCATCAACTTGTAATAGCAGTTCGACTTTATCAGGTACATTCTTTGCACTTTTAGTTCACATTGGCTAGAAGTTCATGAAAATAATAATCGTAGTTTTATTACGTAAGTGAACCTTTCATTATTGATATAGTTCACTGTCGACCCTAGAAATATCATGACAGATTACCATTACAGAACGCGAAATCTTACAAAAAGAATGGGCGTGATGTTTTTTATTAGGAATAATAGATAGAAAGAGTGCTAACCATTGTTTTTTTTTCATTTGGAAATGAATATAACAACTTAAACAAGAGTGATTTCTCATAACAAGTACTCTTACCTATATAAAATCCGATGCCAAAGGATAGACAGTATAACCGTATTTTTGATATGACTGACATTTACAATAAGCATTACGAAAATTACCCAGGCATAACAACAACTGCTAGAAAAGCGCGCTCCGATTATATACTCGAGCTAGCCGCCTTTCCTCCCTGTATCCTTCAATAAATGCTAGTGTATTTTAACTACATACGAATTTAGACTAATGTGTATTTTTTATGCATATATTCTTTAATTGAAGATTTATGTGAAGCCTGCGGTTTGAAGACATTGACGAGTCTTCAGGAGATGCAGGTTGGCACTGTTCGGACCAAAATATCCCTAGTCACTCTAGGCGGTTTGGAAAATCATTTTACAGGATGAAACGTATGGTATACAAGTGTTTTCAGTCTGCCAAAGAAAATGGCGGAGCTCAAAAAAGTGGTGGACACAAAAGACATTGAAATCACTGACATTTCAACAAATATATCTTATTGCGACCATTAACAGCCT